TCTCTCTCTCAAAAGTAAATAAACAAACATTTGAAAGAAAAAACAACTGTTATTTCAAAGGCAAAATATAAACACACATTTCAGATTTTATAGAAAATAACAATGAGAACACTACATTTCAGAACATTTGGAATTCATCTAGAGCAGTGTTCAATGAAATATTCATGCCACCAAATATTTATATTAGTAAACAGGAGAATGAAAATATATAAATCAACCCACATCAAAAGTTAGAAAACAACAACAACAAAGACAACTAAATAAACCAAGACAGCCTGCTCACTCATGCACTTTATTGGCTTTTCTCCCTTTAGTGTCTCCATTCCCACTCCTGTGCTTCTCGGGATCACCTGATACTGTCACAACCTTAAGTAAATAAGTGAGCGAGTGAATGAATAAACCAACCAACCAACCAGCCAGCCAGCCAGCCAGCCAAAGGAGAACATAAGAAATGAATTAAAAAAAATAAATGCAGACACCAAATACAATAGAGAAAAGTAATGGAACATTGTAATGGTAGAACAATTGAATACATCAATATAAATTCATGCGTGTTAGGAAAAAATATGTATTATGTAGCTCTGCCCATGAAATGTCCTAGAAGCAGTGTTACCCACATGATAAAGAACACTCCTCACACCCAGATCTTATTCTCCATTTAAAAAACCAAGGCTCCTTCAGCAATGGTTGACAGCAGATCCGGGTACAGGGAAGATACAAGGTGAGCCTGAAACAATTTATTTTGTTCAAAAAGTAAAAGCAAGCATTCAAAATTAACAGAGCCAAAATTAACAGAGATGGGAGCAAGACTGAAGACATCCACATAAGCCAAAGATGTGTGGAAGAAAGGGTGGATTGAAATGTGGTGGGTTGAAACACGCTGACTCAATACAAATGCCTACGTCCATAATGATACCCACACAGGAAAAAACCTAAAATCTCATGTCACCATTTAAGGTGCCTAATAAACCACTTCCTGAATTTGAAAACTGGTCAATAAAAGGGGGAAACTAAGCATCAATCATGACTGCCTAGAAGGAAGTGACCAAACAGACATATCGGATGAAGGAAAGCTTTACTATGAAGAATGCCAGTTAATAACAGAGAAGGAATGAAAGAATTACAAATTCATCCTGTAACTCTTAATAAAATGTTTGACCCATACGAGGTTTATCAAACATTTGTAATTTGTTGACGGGGAACTGGCTATTCGCAAAGTGGCAAGGCGACACCTCACAGTTAGCTATGAGGGCGAAAACCAGCTATTTCCTGTCATCATGCTAAGCCGGTGATTTAAATAGCGGATCACCCAGGTATTAATGTCTCTTATTACCTAATATTAATTCTAGCCCAAAATGTTTAACTCAAATCCTTCAAGCCTTTAGATGCAACTGCCAGTTTATAGCAAATACAAGGTACGTGGGCAGCAAAGTAAAGGATACAATGAGGAAGCAATTAAAAAACTCCAGACGCTGGGAAACTGGCCTGGGCTCATCAAAAAGTCTGGGTTATGGGGAAAAAATGGGAGTGGAATTGTTTTAATGTAGCAAAGAATTAAGAGGCATGAACAACCCCGGATTCTACCCAGAGTTGGACAAATCAGCTTTAAATACATTTTCGAAAAAAACTGAGCCAATCTGAATTTGAACTGAATTTAGGTAACATGAAGATGTACTGATGGGGGAAAGGAAAGATCATTAGCTGAACTAAATAGATCAGAAAATAGCAGAGTATGAGTTCTCTTTGGTAAAAGGTATGTGTGTGTACGCACATGCGTGTACACATACCCGCATACAAATACACATGCACATAAAAAGCTACACAGATACAGAATGAAAAATCAGTTGTAATAATCTCTGGGTGATAGAACATGGTGCTTTGTTTTCTTATTTTACTACTATGTACTTTCTAACTTTGAACAATACATATATACTTCTCTGGTAATAATAAAAGGTAACTTTCAAAACAGTTAATATAGTTTTACAGGGTTAATATCCTATCAGTATCAACTGAAAAATATAGGCATCAAAATTCTTTAAATAACATTTCTACTAGACCATATGCAGAAAATTCAAAGATAGATATACATATTTTTTAATGTTTATTTAAGAGAGAGACAGAGCATGAGCAGGGGAGGGGCAGAGAGGGAGACACAGAATCCAAGGCAGGCTCCAGGCTCTGAGTGATCAGCATAGAGCCTGATGTGGGGCTTGAACTCACAAACCACGAGATCATGACCTAACCTGAAGTCGGATGCTTAACCAACTGAGCCACCCAGGTGCCCTGCAAATACGGATATTTAAAACCAACCATACCACTGAAGCTGTTCTGATATGACTTACTGCCTTTTAATCATTATTACCTAAAATGTTGCCTTCATCATGTTCTTTAATAACCCTCATCACAAGGAATGAACATGTCATACCCCACACAAAAAAATTCAACTCAGAGTTCATTTCCGTCCAAATTCCCTAGGGAAAGTATTGCCTCACCTCCTTCCTCTGATGGTTGGGGCTCAGGTCCTTTGCCCTTGAACTGGATTGCTGGGGGCTGAACCCATGTGTATGAAGATTCTTCATCCAGCGTCTGAAGGGTCACTCTCTGCAAAAGGATTTCCTGTTCCAGAACACAGGCTGAAACCTGGAGACAAGCAGTAGTGATTAAGCCCTAAGGACACTGAAAATTTAAGAGACTAAACTGGTTTGGAAGGACTCCTTGAGGAATCCACAAGAAATATCCCCTGAGACACTAGGAAAAAGAAAATTGAAAACAGGGCCTTATTTACCTTCTGGGGCACTGAGAAATAGCTAGAAAAGTAAGCAAAGCAAAATCCGATCAAGACTTGTTTCTGTCATTTCACTATTGCCTGTGTGTCCCTGGCCAAGTTACACAACCTCTCTGACCTTAGTTTCCATGTGTGCAAACTGGGAATGATTTCACCTCCTTCTTTGTGGCTGAGAGTTGAGAGACCTCTAAAGTAAGGAGCATGATGCTCCTCGTAGTGTCTGAAAGATAAAATGTCTTCCTTATCTTTACTCACCATCTCTGAATCTGCAGTTCCCTCCCTCTCCCTCTGCTCAGGACTGGCTTAGCAAGACGCTCAGTCCCCTGCTGAATTCTGGTTCTGCCCTTGCTCCCTCAGAGCTCCACAACTGAGGAAGTTTTGTTCCCAGTCACCCACAACCATATCAGACCAGTGCCTTCCTACTTGTACATTTCTTTTTCCGTCCAGATCCTCCAGCGCCGTCACCACCTCGTCCCCGCTCTCCGGATGGTGCTCCCGCACCCAGGCCTGGAGCTCCGCGGGCAGGACGGTCAGGAACTGCTCCAGCACCAGCAGCTCCAGGATCTGCTCCTTGCTGTGCGTCTCGGGCCGCAGCCACTGGCGGCACAGCTCACGGAGTCGGCGCAGTGCCTCCCTGGGTCCAGGCGTCTCCTGGTAGCAAAAGTGTCTGAAGCGCTGTCTGAAGATCTCCCAGGCAGGGGGCTGGTTGTCCGGCACCTGACTCCTGGCGTTGTCCTCCTCCAGCTCCACCTTCACCACCGCAGGCCCCTGCTGACCCCATTCAGGGTGGAACTGGCCGGCAGACTTTCTTGGGTCCACAGCCATCCTGCCTGGCTTCTGCTGGCGTGTCACCTGGAGGCTGCTGAGGGCGCTCTAGGGCACAGAACTAAATAGGGGGTAAACGGCAGATCCTGTGAAGAACCACGCAAGACCTGTGACCACAGTAACTATTTTTATTCATTCGGTAAATCCACAAAAATGCACTAATAGAGGCCGAGCCTGTGCAGAAAGCATTGCAGGCATTCGAACTGCGTCAGTGCACAGAGCCCTGGCATCCTGGAGCGTCCACTCCACGCGGGGCAGTCAGCAATCACAACTACCAGCGGAACCCCGCGCGTAGGGTGGTGTCGCGTCACTGGAGGAGGGGCGCGCGGGCCGAGGAAGCCTCCGAATCCGGCGCCCCGGCCTCAGGGAACACTTCCAAGCCTCGTGAGGTGGCACAGGGTCGTCCGTCCGCGCGCACATGCGCCCACCCAGAGGGAGAGAAGCGCTGAGGAACCGCGGTCACGACAGCAGTGACCTTCGTTCGTGCTGGCTTGGCCACGACGAGCGCGGAGCCCTACTCCCTGCTCGCATCGAGGGGCCCCCACTCCGGGTCGCCCTCGCGGCTCAGCTCGTCGGGGGTCCGCAGGGCCGCTCCCGCCGGGGTCCGAGCCCGAACCCTGGACCCCAAGGCGAGGGACACACTAGGCCGCTCAACCAGCTCCGCCGCAGCGGGCGGGGCCCAGCCCCCGGCTCCCGGAAGCGGCCGCCGGGCTCCCGGAAGCGCCCAGCCCGCGGCTCCTGGAGGCCACGCCCCCTGGCGCGCGCGGCCGCGTCCCACTTCCGGCGTCTCCCGGAATACACGCAACAGGATCAGGAAAGCACAACATGCCGTCAACAAAATGAAGTCGTTTTCGTTGAGGTACACTTCTATTTAAGTTGCCTTAAATATTAGAAAATAAAAATAACCCAGTGTTTGGGATAAGAATGCTTACTTTCTAGGAACATCCTGTATAGACGAGGGAAAATAATTTGTTGAGCCTAAAGCCCATTTGTCTGGTAAAAACAGTTTATCCTTGCTGTGTGGTAATTTACTAAAAACAAATAACAACAAAAACTTGACCTCACTGTGTAGGTGAATAGATGCTCTAATCAGCTGATACAGCCTTGGGAGGGCGGTAACATCGGTCCAACCCACTCCAACCCATCTAAGGGTGACCTTGCTTCAGGCCTACGCACTCCTTGCTTGCTGACCTAAGTCCTTTGGTCCGTAGCAGAAATAACCAACTTCCCTTGAGATTTGCGGACCATTTGCCTTGAGGAGTGAAGGACCAGACCGGATTGGAAAACGGCGCGAGTCTGTTCAGGGTCACGTCCACCTGTGACTACCCGCCAGGCCACCTGTTCCTCCCGCATGCAGCTCCGTCCCTTACCCCGCGTGGCTTCCCCTTTAATGCCTCCAGCTCCCCGGGGGGCAGGGAAGCCGGTCCATCCCCAGCAGCTCCAGGATCCAGGATCCAGGATCCAGGATCCAGGATCCAGGATCCGCGATCCGCTCGTCTCTTCGGTATGCAGCATGCACGTCTGGCCTCGGCCACTGACGGCGGTTCCTGGAGCCCGTTAGGTCTTCGCGGGGCCCAGAGGCCTCCTCCGCAGAAGCGCCGGAAATGCAAGAGTGCGGACAGGACGCACCTTCCTAGGCAGTGTCGACAGCTCCCCAAAATGTTCTCTTCCCGGTTCACTACGTGCAAACCCTCCTGCTCTCAGGGAGTGTGGACGACAGGAGTCAGGGTTACACCAAATTTTAGACAACTCGGGCTGTGAAGGCTCCAGACAAAACTCACTGGACTCGGGGCAGAGTCGGAGTCAGGGTGAAGGCTCTTCTGGACTCTGGGGGTGGGGGGAGGGGATCAGAACGTATTGTAAACACAACAAAATGACCCGGGCAGCGGAGAACTTGGATAAGCCTGTTAACACGATAGCGGTGATAAGCCGACCCAAACAATTTAGGGACACATTGCACCCAGGCTGCGGAGGCAGGTCTTTGCGGCGCTCACAGCCCCCGGGGCTACAAGTAATGCCACGCTCGCCCGGG